GGCAGCAAACACGGTGAAAATGGAACGTAAATGCATCTACTGCGGACAATCGCATTTCGCGGATGAGTGTACCAGGTACACAGATGCAGAAACCAGAAAAGATCAATTGAATGGACGGTGTTTCATTTGCCTGAAATCTGGACACAGTGCAAGGGCATGTGAGCGCACTAAACCATGCTACTACTGCAAACGCACAACACACCATTGTAGTATCTGTCCGGAGAAATTTGGCGCAGGAAAAGTGTCATCCCAAATTCAATCCACAATGGGAGTGGCAATCGCAGATTGCAAAAACACGGTTTTGCAAACAGCAGTTACAATGGTGTCAAATGAAAGCGGAACCCAGGAATGCTATGCTCGGATTTTATTCGACACTGGGGCAACTAGATCCTTCATCACTGAATCCCTATGCCACAAACTGCACTGTAACAAGATTGGAGAGGACACAATCTCAGTGTCAAGCTTTGGTAATGAAAAACGGAAAATCGAAACCATGCCAAGAGTCAATCTACGAATTGCACAACCAGACAAATCGTGCACGGAGGTCTGCGTAAATGTCACGTCCATCATGTGTCACCCAATTCAACGATTCCCGCTTCCTAACGATGTGAAGCTGCATGACATGCCTCTTGCGGAACCACCTGTACAGCAACCAGAGAAATGTGTTGTGGACATACTGATTGGTTTAGATTACTATCATGAATTCATAACCGAAGGTAGCACCACATTGCAGAATGGCACACACATGGTAAAATCAACGTTTGGGTATTTACCATCTGGCAACCCATCTGGCAACATGGAATCAGAGGAAATAGTGAGTGATGCTGTACTCACGACGTGGTCAACGGCGAGCGCGGATACCTTCGAATTTGACATGGAAAAATTCTGGAAACTCGAACACGTTGGAATTGAAGAAGAATGTGAAATTAACATGGAAAATCCGACCGCAGACAATTTTGAAAATACTATCAGATTTGTCAATGGGAGATACTTTGTATCGTGGCCGTGGAAAGAGGACGCTACGGATCTACCGGAGAATTACGAGCTAGCTTACGGTCGGCTGAAATCCCTCTTAAATCGGGTTAAGAAAACGCCAGAAGTATTAAAGCAGTATGACGACATCATACAAGAACAAATGGAGAAGGGAATGGTTGAGAGAGTCACAGAAACCAGTGAGCAGGCAAAACCACACCACTACATTCCACACCATTGTATCATTAAACCGGGAAGCAACACAACAAAGATCAGAATCGTGTACGACGCTTCAGCAAAGACAAAATCGAACAACAAGAGCCTAAATGACTGTTTAGAGCGTGGTCCACTGCTGTTACCGGACCTATGCGGGATGCTGGTACGCTTCCGCATGGAACCAATCGCAATAACAAGTGATGTAGAGAAGGCGTTCTTGCAAGTTGGATTGAATATGACAGATCGAGATGTAACGCGCTTCCTATGGGTCAAGAACATCGAATTGCCACCTACACCAGACAATGTCGAGGTACTGAGATTCGCGAGAGTCCCTTTCGGGGTAATTTCGAGTCCATACTTGCTCTCCGCAACAATCGAACATCACCTGGCCAAACAAGGTACTGAGGTTGCTGACAGTATTCTGAGAAATACCTATGTGGACAATGTACTCGGTGGCGTAGATTCTGTCGACAATGCCATTACTTACTATCAGGAGGCAAAGGAAATGTTCAACAGCGCATCGATGAACCTGCGCGAATGGGCAAGCAACAGTGATGACTTCCTGCAAGCACTTCCTGACGAAGACAAAACAAAATCGGAAAATGTGAAGGTGTTGGGAATGGAATGGAACACGGTAACAGACACAATCAACGTCCCGTCGAACAACGCCGACACAAAGTCAGTTAAAACCAAGAGGCAATTGCTGAGTGTCATTGCGTCATTTTACGACCCAATGGGATATTTCTCACCTGTCGTACTCAAAGCCAAATCTCTTCTGCAACGTGTATGGAAATTAGACATCAGCTGGGATGATGACCTCCCAGAGGAAATAACCAGTCAATGGGTCAAGATTGCGGCAGAGATGACGGAAGCTTCAGCCACAGAAATTCCAAGAGGTGCCATGTCTTGGACACCCAACAGCCAATACGAATTACACGTGTTCTGTGATGCCTCGAAGGAGGGTTATGGCACCGTTGCATACTTACGTGAAATTGGTGGCTCGGTCAACGTAATCTTCTCGAAAACACGGGTGGCCCCAGTCAAGGAATTATCCATTCCAAGACTAGAGCTTCTTGCGGTACTGTTGGGTTCTCGTGTAGCCACATTCCTGGAAAAGGAACTTCCCGTGAAACTAGAAAATACGTACTTATGGTCAGATTCAAAATGCGTACTTGGCTGGCTTAACAATTCTAATGGAAAATTACCCAAGTTTGTGGCAAGGCGAGTACAGGAAATTCGTTCCCACAAATTAAAGTTTCTGTACGTCGGATCATCACAAAACCCAGCAGACTTGGCGTCAAGAGGAGCTGGTGTTGCTGATCTGAACCGTGGTGCCTGGTGGAATGGTCCCAGCTGGCTAGCTGGCGAAACAGAGTGGCCGGCAAGCCACGATCCAATAGAGGCTACTCCTGTCACCGCTAATTTCGTGCAGGGGGAGGGTCCTGACGGATCACCAGCAGGCATTGACCCGGAACGTTTCACTTCTTTCGGGAAACTAGTCAGAGTCACAGCGTATGTACAGAAATTTATTGATAAAATCCAAAAAAAATCGGTTGGTACCACCATCTCACGTGACGAATACCAACGAGCGGAATCGAAATGGATACAATTTACACAACAACAACACTACAATGATGAATTCGAAGCACTCAAGAAGCAGAAATCTACGGATTTGATCAACAAACTCGGTCTGTTTGTTGACGAAATGGGACTCCTCAGATGTAAAGGACGAATGGAAAATGCTATTGATAGTCAATCGAAATGCCCTATCTTACTTCCTGGCAAAGATCAATTGGCAGAACTAATTATCATGAACTACCACAAAATGTTACTTCATTCCGGAACAAACCACACACTTAACGAATCACGGAAAAGATTCTGGATCACTCGTGGACGAGAAACGGTAAAGACAGTACTAAAGAAATGTTTGACATGTAAGCGGCACGAGGGTGGCCCGTTTCGAATGCCTAAACTCGCTCCTTTGCCCAAGGAAAGATTAATGGAGTCGCTACCGTTTGAGTTCACGGGTGTAGATTACTTTGGACCGTTGAATTACAAATCTAACGAAGGCACGATGAAATGCTGGAATGCTGGGTGGTACTGTTCACATGTTTTACAACGCGAGCAGTTCATTTAGAACTAGTAACGGATATGTCAACTGATGCATTCTTAATGTCCTTCAGAAGATTCATAGCACGGAGAGGAGTACCTGTGAAGATTGTCTCTGACAATGCCCAGCAATTCAAATTGGCAGACCAAACACTGAATAAGCTCTGGGACTCTGTGCAGACGGATCAGAATGTTCAAAACTATCTCTCGAGTAATGGAATTGAATGGAAATTCATCACACAACTTTCTCCGTGGATGGGCGGTTTGTACGAACGAATGGTGCAGGTCACCAAACGATGCTTACGGAAATGTATTGGTCGCAAATTGCTTTCACTCATGGACCTCATTACTCTACTAGCTGAAGTAGAAGGAGTCATTAATTCTCGACCTCTGACGTATGCTAGCGAGGAACTGAATGGTCTTGTAATCACCCCTGCCAGACTCCTAAACGTGAATGCCTGTCTCGGGATACCGCAAACCACCATCGATGTCACTGACCCCGATTTTGCAACATCGGTCAGCTCAGCAGAGTTTATGCTGCAGAAACTCGGTCAGCAAACAAATCAATTGGACATGTTTTGGAAACAATGGCGGGAAGAATACCTGACGTCGCTACGTGAGCGTGGAGACTCTGGTCTCAAACAGCAACGTACACTATCAAAGGAATCCCCATCCGTTGGCAGTATAGTACTGATAAAGGAACAGCTGCAACCAAGAAGTACTTGGCCACTCGGCAAGATCACGGAATTACACTTTAATCAGGATAAACAACCTACCTCAGCTACTGTTAGATTAACAGCTGGAAAGAGCATTATCCGCCCGCTGTGTCTGTTGTTCCCAATTGAGTGTACAACACTAGAAACACCGGCAGAGCAGCCAGCAGAGCCAACGGCAGCATCGAATACATCAGTACCAGCCAGTGATCGACCGGTAAGGGCAGCGGCTGTGCGGTCACGGCAAACCCTGCAGACCATGATCAACACTAATTCAGTCTGATACAAATAACTGTTTCCACTCAATTTTTCTCTTTCAACACTTCATTTCACAGTTGTAATTGTTCACTCACGCGTGTATGCTATTTCATAACTATGGTAGTCACTTTCAGCGGGCGGGAGTGTCGCGAATGCGATCGGATTTATTCGTAGTCACGAGCACAATGCATGTATATAACCAAGAATTCACAGCTACGTAGGTCTACGTATACATGTATCCTTGTTCAGTGCATGATCTGTACGTTCAATCACTCGCATCCCTTTGTGACACCCTTTTTCTCACCTTGCACTTCGTTGCATTTCTAATGTTTCCGTTCCGGGCACCCTTTGATTCAGTTTGAACCCATGCACCTTGGCTTGCACACGCACCGACATCCAACACGGACTGTGTGTACGACTATCGGCATCTTTGATGGCCTTCATCACTATCCATTTTCATGCTCACAGTTGGACTCGTTGCACCGTGCGTATCTTTATGTGTCACCTTTTCAGCTACATGCACGTGGAGCTGTTTTAGTTCCACAACTTGGTGCTCTTCTTGCTTCTCTTTGATTCTTCGCTACTCCTTGGGAGCTTATTTCGATGCGTTTGTATATTTATCGCTTGTATATTTCTGCTGACGCTGTACGCAAGACACTTTCACGGCACACTACTGCTACAGGCATACACTCCGACTCACCTATATTATCGCTCTCCCCTTGTAAATATTCTTCAGTCTTGATTCACAAGAAAATTGGGCACTAAGGAAAATATGGTCTGCTTCGAGTGGTTTATGTAAAGGGTATGTACATGGTTCGCGACACAGCTGTTGATCGAGCCGGGATACACCCAGAATGAACCTGAGGGAGCGGTGGTGGAAGTTGTTGATGGCAACCATGTCTCTCTTCAGCGGAGTCCAGCACTCACAGGCATAGAGCAATGTGGACAGAACGCAAACATCGTAAAGATGGCGCTTGGTGGCGATGGAAAGGTTTCGGTCAAGAAAGACACGGCGCATAAGGTCGAAAGCTGCCGCTGCCTTACCGAGTCTTCTGGCCACATCTGCAGATGAGCGGGTGTCAGCAGTTATCACAGAGCCAAGATACACAAAGGATTTGACACTTTCGATCTCCTCCGGACCAACAAAGAGCGGAAGGCGGTCAGCACATGATAAATTTGCACCAACGGCCATGAACTTGGTCTTCGCTGTACTCAGAGTCAAGCCGAAGGAAGAAGCAACGTTGCTGAACAGCTCCAAAGCCAGTTGAGCTGACTCACGGGATGGTGCAAGTAGTGCTGCATCATCTGCAAACTCCAGGTCGTTGACCGATGTCGTGCCAGTTTGACGGGTTCGCTTGGGAAATAGATTGCCACTTCCATGGATTGAAGATATCAGGGACACACCGTTAACACCCACACACACACATACACACACACACACACACACACACAAACACAATTTTACTTCTACTGATGTTGTACGTATACTTGTAAACTGCCAAAACTGGTCACATGGGTCTCCCAGGGAGTGGGGAGACAGAATCAAAAGGAACATGGACAGACTCAACATGAAACAAGACAATACCTTTTCGGTTGGCTTGGTCTTTGAATTCTGACTTGGTGTCCCATCTGAGGCGGATTCAGATGAGCTTGCAACTTTAGTAGCTTTGGCCTATAAACAGCAGAGACATATGATCAAGTAAATTTCTGTACCAGCAATCGTAAGAGAACGAAAACCAGTGTTTGTGTACCTAGTCCCAGCATAACACAAATCCACTGGAACATGCTGCAGCTACTATGGCCTAGTCTACACCAGACGGCCGTGGCTGCAAACACAGTTATCCTTCTATTTTGGTTAGAGGCCAGAACAGTGCAACCGACCTCTACAACTACAAACACACACACACACACACACACACACACACATTAACAAGAACACACATTGCTTGGGTGGATGGTGCGCGGCCGGCGAAATTGAATTGCATTTGCCCGGGGGGGGGGGCAAGTAATAGCAGGGTTGGCAAGAGCCAAGAGCCCACTGATGCATTCAATGGAGAAATGGAGAGCCGCCGGGCACCGTTTATTGGGGTTTACTTTATAAAAGTAAGCATGTGAGGATAAATATGGGAGTGGGAGGGTGGGAACGAGAAACAAATAAACTGACAACCAGTCACCACCATGAACAATTCTTGAGAAGAGATTGTCAGCAAGGGAGCAAGAAAAATGGGTCGCCATTTTTGCGTCATGGTAACCGGACATCAGTATGGTTGCTGACGTCATGGGCACGTTGTGTGCGCTGGGGTAAATGTGAGTGGCAAGACTGACATTTGTGCGGCGCCATGCCTGCGTGAGGGCACAGGGTAGCAGAGACAGTTGTGCGGCACCATGCGCCCGCAAGGACATGGGGCGGCAGAGGTAGGTGTGCGGCCCCACGCGCCTGCGAGGACAAAGGGCGGCGGAGACAGTTGTGCGGCACCATGCGCATGCAAGGGCATGGGGCAGCAGGGGCAGTTGTGCGTCACCATGTGCATTCGAGGACATGGGGCAGCACGTACCCGCGGCGGTGAGCTACAATAATGCTAGCTGTTAATGAGCATAAACGCTGCGCTTTAATGCGACACACACACACACACACAATTTTACTTCTACTTATCTTGGCCGGATACTTGTGAACAGAAAAAAACTAGTCTCATGGGTCTCCCAGGGAGTGGGGAGACAGAATCAAAAGGAACATGGAGAGACTCAACATGAAACAAGACAATACCTTTTCGGTTGGCTTGGTCTTTGAAATCGGCCTTGGTGTCCCACCCGAGACGGATTCAGATGAGCTTGCAACTGTAGTAGCTTTGGCCTATTAACAGCAGAGACATATGATGAAGTAAATTTCTGTACCAGCATTCGTAAGAGATAGCGAAAACCAGTGTTTGGGTACCAACAGTGCTGGTAACTGAAATACGACCCCCTGAGCGGTGCGCTTACATCGCAAAGATACAACACGGGATGGTAAAGCTACGAAACAGAGACCGCTAAAATGTGAACCCACCGCTCAGGGGGTCGGATTTCAGTTGCCAGTACTGTAGTTCCAGCATAACACAAATCCACTGGGACTTGCTTCAGCTAATATGGCCTAGTCTACACTAGACGGCCGTGACTGCAAACATAGTTATCCTTCTATTTTGGTCAGAGCCCAGATAAGTGCAACCGACCTCTACAACTACAAACACACACACACACACACACACACACACACAAACACACACAAACACACTTGTAGTTGTACTTGTACTTGCTCACTACAAAAACTGGTCATGTGGGTCTCCCCGGTAGAGGGGAGATCGATCCAAAATGAATCTTAGAGAGATGGCTCAAGTGGCTATAGAACCGCCCAATGGCCGACACCCCTTGAAATCCCCAAAACTCTGGGTGGACTTGAAAAGGATCCCATTTACATGTATGGGCTCACCACACCTCAGTAAGTGGGTGATGACAAGGTGCAGAAAAAGGATTGACGGCATCAGTGTATCCGTCCTGGGATCCAACTGCAGTTACCCCTGCTCCCAGTGAAGGTAATACCTGCTACTAGCGTGGGTGGTTAAATCAGAGTGGATCTGATATAAGCGTCATTAGCATCATTGATTACACAAGAGTTAATCTAGCCAGAAGCGGTCCATGGTCAACAGGTACGTATACTTCAAATAGAAAGTATATTATATGAACACTGAAACCAACAAACACACAAACACACACACACACACACAACCACAAACACACACACAAACACATAAACACACACACACACACACACACACACACACACACACAAACACACAAACACACACACACACACACACACACACACACACAAACGCACTTTCACTTGTACTTGGTAACTGCCAAAACTGGTCAGATGGGTCTCCCTGGAAGAACGGAGAGAGAATCAACATGAAACAAGACACTACCTTCTTGCTTCGCTTGATCTTTGAAATCTGCCTTGGTAGGTGCATGAAAGGAAAGACATGGCATCGTCCATCCACAGCGGATTGAGTTGAGCTTGCAACTGTAGTGCCGTTGGCCTATAAACAGCAGAGAAAATATGATCAAGTAAATTTCTGTACCAGCCGAATCGTAAGAAAAATGTTGATTTTCTATGTAATTTTGCGCTTACTTGGTCCGCGTTAGCAATATTGTCGCTTATCTTTCAGCTTAGTTTTTATGTCGCCAATGCTCACTTGGCAGCCTATTTCATCCAAATTTTGGTTAGTAAGTTAGTTTACTAGTACCTGAAATGTCTAGCTAGATTTCGAGTGGATTTCGAGAGTGGCAGGTGGGTGATTCTGTTTGATACAGTGCTGCATCAAAATAGATTATCTTTTCACACTGCACAGGCAAGAGCAGAGCGATGAACAAGAAAGTAATCGGCTACTCGGAATCAGTTCCATTTTGCACAACGGCCGAGATCGCTCACCTCAGGGATCGCTCGCAGTTCCCTCACCTCCAGGTCAACGCTCGGAGTATCCGGTGCATCGTGGAGATTTGCAAGTACTGTAGCCGTCGTCGTCGTTCAAAATAAATCTTGCAAAAGAAGGTCGACTGATTTGAACCACACGAGCAGTCATGCTGCCCACTCAAAGTCCTGTAGAGAAGGCGACCGTCATGATCCACTTCCCTTTAGAAAATTGGCAGGCAGCGGAGAGGAAGAGAGATGAGCTTGCGAAAGCGAGAGTGTCGATCCCGAGCAAAACATATTTGTCACCAGCGCCGAGAGCAGCGACGAGGAGGACCAGAAAAATTATGAACCCTTCCTTGGACAATCAATTCCTCATGACCAGTTGTCATAATACACCTTACCTTCCATCATACCAAGTTTTATCATCTCAAGTGCACGTGTTAATGTCCAATGTCTAAGTTCAAATTGTCGAAAGATAAGCGACAATATTGCTGACACGGACGAAGTACACGACAAGAAAAACTTGCGAGGAAGGTTGTAGCACAGAGTCGAAAAGTCAAATACAATTACTGATGATGCAGAAACTCACCTGACTCAATAGAACTGTCCACAGCACGTATGAAAGAGCTCCGAGGACAATGACCACCATCAATACAACAGCCGCTGATTTGGTTGTGCTTGCAGCTACCGAAGGTTCAGCCTGCAAAACAGCACAGACACAGTATCTCGGAAATATATAGAACTAGTATTAATTTTGTAATTGAAAGGCTCATCATGATCGTACAAAGCGTCCACAATGGTCATTTGGATTTGACCAATCAGCGCACGGCAACACGGGCTGTTTCTTGCAATCGTGGGGTGTTTTCTGAGCTTGACGTGACTGTATTCGTCGGTTTTAGACACTAGGCCATTGTGGATTCGTGTTCAGAAGGTTTGTCTTTGTAGGGTTACCGACTCGAATTTTTCGATTTGGCCTTTGTTTGGCTGAGATTGGATGGTGAAAACACTCTAACTCGAAGACGTGCGAACAAATGAATGAAGAGAAAACTAGAAATCGGCGACGGTGAACCGATAGAGAATTCCCAGACTGATAAAATAGGCTATCGACGGTGAGCACCGGCCAAGTAGAGCCGCTGTTTTACTTTTTTGAAAACGTCAAGGTCGGCCGTGCGTTCCCGCGCGCACCGACAAAACCTGGCCGCCGTGCGCATATCTGCATGTGGAGCAAGAAAAAACGGAGGAGACAGCAAGCGTTCCAAGGGAAGAGTTTACCTTCGTGTTGACTCAAGCTAAGGACTCAGGCAAGTCAGGGATCATACCAGTCACCTCTCATCATGGTCATGACTAAGGGATTCATATCTGGCCAGGAAACTCCCACTCGCAGCGTGAAAGCTGCGAGGCCAAACAGAACAGGGTGTGCCGAGTCGCGATCAGGAAATGTTGAGTTCTACTAACAACATTGGTTAGCTAGGCGCAGCAAATTCTTGTAGATGCCAGGATTCCAGTTCACCAGTACCTCACGGACATATCTTGCTCGACACCCACCAGCGGATTGAGAAAAATGACCAAGATGGCTTGGAGAAAGGACGTCTTCTCCGCCTGTCTTTCCCAGCATCAAACAACAAGATTCGCTTCGCCACTGGCCCTTCGCTCTACAGACTAGACGAGGGAGTCGTAAAATATCGGTATTTTACAACTAGACTGCACATCGCTATACATCGATCTGTATGAACTCGGGTGCGTAGCCGCTATGATGGCACAAACTCTGGCCTCCGCGGCCGTCGCCATTTGTTCAAAATGGTGGTCGACACTTTTTGAATTTTGTATGGTCGTGGTGGGCCCTGAATTGGCAGCCAACCAGCAAAACGTTTGTAAGAAGCAGCCGATAATGTCATCATCCGTTCAAGATCAAAGGAGAATTATGTATAGACTGCTGAATCAGACTCGTTGAATTCTCTCCTGTGCAGTTTACCGCAAAAATTCCAAATAGAAGGAGCAGGCTGAGCCAGTATCCTTGGCTGCAAAAATGGAAATAGGGTGATTTTTTACACAATGTCGTGTCACATGACCTTCCGAATCAGACTGAAAAGGGCTACGCTACGTCCCTGTTGTACTACAAGCAGCCTATAAAACAGGATTTTCCCTTCTACAGTCCATTTCAAAACTATAGACGCGTACCTAGGCAAAAACCGTTATGCCAGCATCTATACCACATAAAATCTGTGATCACTTTGTGCATAAATTTTTCCAAATTGGGCGTCTGTTATCCAATCCTTTAGAAACTATATGAGAGTAATTGTGGAGCGATCCTGAGCAATATTCCGAAAACTATTCTCAAAAAGTTCCAGCCAAATTTGAAATATTTCAAAAACCCTACGCGTCTATAGTTTTGAAATGCACTGTAGGCAAGTCAGCAGTATTTAGGGTAGGGCCATACTTTAGTTGAAGAGTACTGCCAGTTCTCAAGTGCAGCTTACTTGCCAGGAGGGGATACACCCCTTGCCGGGAGGGGATACACCCCTTGCCGGGAGGGGATTACGATACACCCCTTGCCGGGAGGGGACCCACCCCTTGCCGGGAGGGGATACACCCCTTGCCGGGAGGGGATACACCCCTTGCCGGGAGGGGATACACCCCTTCTTAGGAGGACTGAACTACTCTATGTGAATGCTGGCAGTTTCAAAAGTCAACGCTTCTAAATAGGCCGTTTGTGGTGTGGATTTGTAGCTACTTTCCGGTAATGAGGGTTCATACCTGCTGAGTCACTTCCTCGTGTGTTGCAGCTAGTTGTTGTTGCTGCGCTGCAGTCAGTTGTTGCCGTGTTGCGGTCAATTGTTCTGGTGTTGTTGTCTGGTTGTTGGTAGCGGGTTCTTCTAGCGTATCACTCCGCGCCGACAGTGCAGTGACGGATGTAGCTTGCTGGGTTAGCTGTTCGGAGATAGAGTCCAGTCGACGTACAACAGCTGGTTGTACCGTGGGAGGACGAGGCTGTAAAGATCACACACAGTGTAACAAAAACAACCACACCACCACACAGAGCATACCAACACAACACCACACACAGTGTAGCCAACACAACAACATCACACACAACATGAAGAGAAAAGGACTTTAGACGTTACTACTTCTTTTGAAGTAGTTATGACTACCCAACTTTCCGTGTATGCAGATTTAACGCATGTACCATTTGCTCTCCATGAATAAGAACAAAATTACTGATACTTCAACAGTTCAGAACAATGCTAGTCTGAACTCTGAGCTCCTGCTTTCTCCGGCACCCCGACTTACTGTACTACCAGCCAAACAGAAAACTCAACATCAGAAGAGGATCTGTTCAACCTTGCTCCCCGCATGCTGGAACCCACGCGTACACAAACTGGCGACAACGGTATCATGAAGTAACGTGAGAAAGTGTGGTGCGTACGCTCGACTGACAGGCACATGCGACATGCATGCAGCTTTCCAAGCACTCTGTGTACCATATATATATATACCACAGGGACTAATTTACTTCAAAAAAATTGCATAGCAATAATTGCTACACACCTCTATGTTTGCATAGCAACGCAACAATTTTGCATAGCAGTTTTTTTCCGTCGACAATGCAGTCTTCAGTGCACTTCCACTTATACCGTCAACAAACGCCATGCTGCCTCAAACCACGAAGCGAGGACGCCTTCTCCCTGCACATCTTGCAAAATATCTTGGTCACAGCTCCACCACTCGACTCTGCGCGAATCCATTCTTTTTTGGGATCAAATTCAGCAATTTACTTGTCCACAGTACCTTGCTTCACAGACATGCCGGCAGTGAAGAGGCTTCATCAATAAGGCTAGCAGAATTTTACAAAGATAAGTCCTGAACGGTCGAGACGCCTACTGCTAGTGGAGCAACGCGGTCTAAATCTCAAAAGCAGGTGAAGTACTTGTCGACACTCGCCTCGTGCTTCCTGGGCTGCACTTCAAGTAAAATTTAATATTAGTTAGTTAGTTTCCAAATGCACGTGCTGCGGTGCGCGTGCGGAGATAGTGCGACATATGGCCATGGTCCCGCGGCCCGCGCGTGCGTATGGTGTAAAATCTACCTGCAGTGCAGGCTGGACAACCACACACACACAGTCTAATCTAGTCACAGTGCATGGCGCGCCATCTCGTGGCGCCAAACCAGCCACACACACTGTAAAGCTACACATGTGCATGCGCTACGCGTGCACTACAACTTACAAGTCTATGTCCAGGGCCATACTTAGCTGTATGTTGTGTCGCAGTTTACCGCCACTCACTACGAACTTCGAATCGCAGACACTGTGTTTTGCGTCGCAAATTGCGATGCGATACCGGTTAAATTAGTCCCTGTACCAAGAGTACATGACCTCATGTACTCTACTCATGTACTCTTGGTATAATTATACCATGTTTGTACACCATTCTGCTGTGGTACATTTGAAGTGCGGATCGGTTACCATGGGTACACAAGAGCACCGTGCGCAGGCACATAACTGAAGATCCACAACCGCCAAAGTAAAACGACGAGATTGTCGCCCGTGACATATAAATTTATAAACCCACACATTCAGCAGCAAATGATTTAATCAGCTGCGAATTACTGCGAATTCAGCCCAATATGCAGCGCAAGATTTGCTGCAGTTTTCGAAGTTCCGCTATTTTCCGTGGGGACAGGTGTGCCACTACAAAATCCCCCCCGTCTACTCAAGATACAGACTCTCTCCAAATTTCACCTCTGGGATATGTCTCGCTGAAAGTTGCAGTCATGTGTGAAGTTCATGTACACGGATACTCTACCGGTGTGTGTGTGCGTGCGTGCGTGCGTGCGTGGACGTCGTTATGGATGACTTTGCGTCGGTTGAGCCACCTGTACCAACATGTGGATGGTACGATGCAGCCCAAAACCGTCCTGAGTGGCGTGCCATTGCCCGTCGACCACCCAAGGCACCCTCTGCTGCTGGCTACGGTTGCGCCTGCGGCCGCATGTTCCGTCGAAGCGGCGACCTGAAACGCCATCAGTCATTCTGTCGTGGACTGGAGAAATAACAATGCGCTATCATTGCTACGCAATGGGCAAGGTCAAGGTGTGTGCGTGTGTGTGTGTGTGTGCGTGCGTGTGTGTCAGTGTGCATGCATGCAAGCTACTTTGTGTTGAGTCTGTTGCCAACGAGCTTGGCTGCTTGAAGGTGTAATGTTGTACCTGCCACCTTTCCTGGTTTCACGGTTCATGTACTCTATACTGTAAAAGCACCGCAGATTGAGTATTTCCCTCCTGCTCTTGTAGCAGTTGAGCACTCTTGCGTGGGGTAGTGCCTTTGCTGTTTGCGTTATCCAGAGCTCACTGACCTGTCAGTTTGAGCACTCTGGCAAGGTACGTTCGGGCCTGATTTAAATCTGGCTTTGGAAAATTTATTTTTCATTGCTACCAGGTTCGGCCTCATTTCCTCTGTGCTGCGCTGACGAGTCCACAAAGGACGAAACAGTTCTGTCTGCAGATTGAGTATACTGTAAAAACATGTTTTCTTCGGTGTAACTTTAATTTCGGCGACTTTGGTAGAGAAACCAGGCACCTAAATTTAAATCACACCTACAGTCCATTCATAAAAAAAGATGGACGTCTAGCTTTCGGCCATAAATGGGTCAAACTTTGTGAGTTTTTTTTAGAATTTTTATCTGCAATCCCCCATGGAATCCTCTTCCAAATACATGTATGTTTCTGAAGCCTATTTTCCCAATAAAGCAAGCCCTACCAAGAATAGGATTTCGGCCAGATTTTGCCCCAAAAGCACTGAATTCGGAAAACCATCAAAATCCAGGCCGTTTGACCCTGCCTGCAACAGTGCGCGGTGCGGTTCGAACCCCAGTTCGGGTACCCTTTTTGGACTTTTTTTCCATTTTCCAATTATTATTTTGCAGCACTGCACTCTGTGCGATAAAATCACGGAAAATCGCCAAATACGGGAGCTTGCCAGAGCCAGGGCTAGGCCCAGACAAATCCTGCCGGCAATTCTTTTGGCAAAATATCGAAGAATTGATAGAGCAAGAATTGCCGGCAAAATCGGAGCAAATTATCGAGATGTTGGGTAAAATCGATGCCTGATACGTGAATTTCCTTGTTTCTTACCCGTTCAGCATGATACAGTGCCCAGGACGAGATCATGTCGCCGAAATATCACCGGGATTCACTGTGGATCGACATGATTTTAGAAGAACTCAGGGACACGTGCGTGGAAACCCGTGTTGAGAAACCGACCCTGCGATTTTTATGAAACGTTGTACGGGATTGTACGGGAAGTGGAAAAATACACGTTTTTCCGGAGCAAAATGGAGCAAAATATCGAGTTTCTTGTGCCACGCTCGGCAAAATACTGTAAACCCCCTATTTTAGAGACACATAAACCTTAGCGAATTTAGCGAATCAGTCAAATTCGCCAAAATTAGGGGTCACGAATCACTTTTTTTCCTTTTTTTTAGTGATTTGTACCATCACATAGATGTACATGTGCACTGCATACCTGTCTGTGTTCCTGTGTAGTAACTCAGTTACTACAGGTGTGGAATCCTGATAATTCAAACCTCAAAATGCCAGGGAAAAACTTCAAATTATCCGGACATTCGAATTATCCCAACATGCACCCACAGCGAGCGGAGGCAGAGCATCAGCTGTGCCGTGTGTCAACTGAGCCGATGGTCCAGTCTGTGATATCTCGTGCCCCTGGTCCTGCTGCAGTCATCGCATCCTGCAGGACTCTTGCTTCTGCGGCGCGCACAGAGCGTCGTGCTCAGCAGCAATCCGTTCTGACCAGCATCAAGCCCTCTCTGCCGGACCAGCAGCGGCTTCTGGTCGAGGTTGCCGGCGATGGTGGCGTATCAACTTGGCTAGGTACCACGCCCACGGTCTTAACTCCAAGCAGCATTTTCAACAAAAATGACTTTCGGAACGCTTTGTGTCTGCGCTATGGTTTGGCTCTGGGTAGTGTGCCTTCATCGTGCGTCTGTGGTCGTGACATGACGACTCATCACGCATTCACGTGCCCCAGCGGAGGGTATCCTACACAGCGCCATAACCAGTTGCGGGACCTCTTTGGCGACACGCTGGCAGAAGTGGTGTGTGACGTGGAGTCTGAGCCCCCACTGGCTCCATTGCAGGGTGAGGCTGTGTCTGGCAACACTGCCGATGGCGCTCGTGTGGATGTTCGGGCTTGTGGCTTCTGGTCGCGGCAGCAAAATGCCTTTTTCGATGTTCGGGTTACTCACCCAAGGCCATCTTTGCTGTCGCGATCACAAGTAATGAGCCAATTGGCTGATCACGAGCGCCAGAAGAAGCGTCAATATGCCGACCGTATCAATAGGGTTGATCGTGGATCGTTCACGCCCCTTGTGTTCGCCACGAATGGCATGTGCAGCACGGAGACCACTGTTTTCCTGCGCACTTTGGCTGCGCGAATTCACGACCGTCATCGCGACCTACCGTATTCCCTGCTTGTGCGGCAATTGCGCTCGAGGATAAGTTTGTGCCTTGTGCGATGGCAGATTACCTGCCTTCGTGGTGCCGTGCGTCGTACGTCAAGAGACATGCTGGTGGCGGCGCTCATAGCTTCGCCATGGAGTGCCGAGCCCATGCTCATCTTTTGACCTGACTGTGACCATCAATGTTCTTTTCACATGGATTGATCTTATTTATTACTTCACACCAGATCCATTTTTTGTTATTATTTTGTTTGTTTTGTTTTGTTGTTTGTTTGAATGTTTTGCTTTGATTTACTGTGGCAACGTGCTGACTGTGTTTTATCCATGTTAGGGTGGGGGCTATTTGATCGCGGCTTTTTAGTGGTTTTCATTTCATGTTTTTGGGTGTCTCTAGCATACTTTCATTTGCTGTTGCTTTATACCTTCTCTTTGATGGTTTCTGTTGTTCATTTGGATTGAAATAAAAACGATTCCCCTAGTAGTAGTAGCAGTAGCAGTACCAGTAGTAGTAGC